GATCTCGGCTCACCGCAACCTCCGCCTCCTGGGTTCAGGCAATTCTCCTGCCTCAGCCTCCTGAGTAGCTGGGATTACAGGCACACGCCACCATGCCCAGCTGATTTTTTGTATTTTTAGTAGAGACGGGGTTTCACCATGTTGACCAGGATGGTCTCGATCTCTTGACCTTGTGATCCACCCGCCTCGGCCTCCCAAAGTGCTGGGATTACAGGCTTGAGCCACCACGCCCGGCTACTTTATTCTTTTTATATGAGACAGAGTCTCACTGTGTTGCCCAGGCTGGAGTGCAGTGGCATGATCTCAGCTCACTGAAACCTCTGCCTGCCTCAGCCTCCTGCGTAGCTGGGACTACTTGCACATGCTACTATGGCTGGCTAATTTTTTTTTTTTTTTTTTGAGACGGAGTTTCACTCTTGTTGCCCAGGCTAGAGTGCAATGGCGTGATCTCGGTTTACCGCAACCTCTGCCTCCAGGTTTCAAGCAATTCTCCTGCCTCAGTCTCCCTAGTAGCTGAAATTACAGGCATGCATCACCATGCCTGGCTAATTTTGTACTTTTAGTAGAGACAGGATTTCTCCATGTTGGCCTCAAACTCCGACCTCAGTTGTTCCGCCCACCTTGGCCTCCCAAAGTGCTGGGATTAAAGGTGTGAGCCACCGTGCTGGCCATTTTTTGTATTTTTAGTAGAGACAGGGTTTCATTATGTTGCTCAGGTTGGTCTCGATCTCCTGACCTCAGGTAGTCTGCCTGCCTCAGCCTCCCAAAGTGCTGGGATTACAGGTATGAGCCACCGCGCCCTGGCCTCTTCTACTTTATTCTTTAAGTATAAAGATTGCTTTTTTTTTGAGACGGAGTCTCACCTTGTTGCCCGGGCTGGAGTGCAATGGTGCCATCTTGGCTTACTGCAACCTCCGCCTCCCTGGTTCAAATGATTCTCTTGCCTCAGCCTCCTGAGTAGCTGGGATTACAGGCACCCGCCACCATGTTCAGCTATTTTTCTTGTGTTTTTAGTAGAGACAGGGTTTCACCATGTTGGCCAGCCTGGTCTCAAACTCCTGACCTCGTGATACACCCAGTTCGGCCTCCCAAAGTGCTGGGATTACAGTTGTGGGCCACCACGCCCAGGCTGCTTTTTTTTTTTTTTTGAGACGGAGTTTCACTCTTGTTGCCCAGGCTGGAGTGCAATGGCGCGATCTCGGCTCACCGCAACCTCCGCCTCCTGGGTTCAGGCAATTCTCCTGCCTCAGCCTCCTGAGTAGCTGGGATTACAGGCATGTGCCACCATGCCCAGCTAATTTTTTGTATTTTTAGTAAAGACGGGGTTTCACCATGTTGACGAGGATGGTCTCCATCTCTTGACCTCGTGATCCACCCGCCTCGGCCTCCCAAAGTGCTGGGATTACAGGCTTGAGCCACTGCGCCCGGCCCCAGGCTGCTTTTTTATTTTTTATTTTTTAGACAAAAGTTATTGGTATGTTGCCCAGGCTAGACTTGCTCTCTTAGGCTCAAGCAATCTTACCACTTCAGCCTACTGGGTAGTTGGGACTATGGGCACAAGGGACTGTGCCCAGCTCTGGATGCTTTTTTCCAATAAATGGACCCTAATTTATAAAAGCACTTCCATATTGTTGCTTAGTGGTATCCAAATTTTCCTTTAATAAATTATGCTGGGCCGGGTGCGGTGGCTCACACCTGTAATCCCAGCACTTTGGGAGGCCGAGGCGGGTGGATCACGAGGTCAAGAGATCGGGACCATCCTGGTCAACATGGTGAAACCCCGTCTCTACTAAAAATACAAAAAATCAGCTGGGCATGGTGGCACGTGCCTGTAATCCCAGCTACTCAGGAGGCTGAGGCAGGAGAATTGCCTGAACCCAGGAAGTGGAGGCTGCAGTGAGCCGAGATCACGCCATTGCACTCCAGCCTGGGTAACGAGAGCGAAACTCCGTCTCAAAAAAAAAAATAAATAAATAAATAAATTATGCTATGATGTAAATTTGAGAGCAACCTGGCCAACATGGCAAAACCCCATCTCTACTAAAAATGAAAAAATTAGCCAGGCATGGTGGTGCCTGGCTGAGGAACAAGAATGGCTTGAACCTGGGAGGCGGAGGTTGCAATGAGCTGAGATCATGCCACTGCACTCCAGTGTGAGCCACTGCATGATGGAGTTAGACTCTGTATCAAAAAAAAAAAAAAGTAAAATAAAAATAATTAGTAGTGGCTGGATGCAGTGACTCACACCTGTAATTCCAGCACTTTGGGAGGCCGAGGTGGGCTGATCACTTGAGGTCAGGAGTTCACAACCAGCCTGGCCAACATGGTGAAACCCCATCTCTACGAAAAAAAAGGACAAAAATTTGCTGAGTGTGGTGGTAGACACCTGTAATCCCAGCTACTTGGGAGGCTGAGGCAGGAGAATCACTTGAACCTGGGAGGCAGAGGTTGCAGTGAGCCGAGATTGCACCACTGCACTCCAGCCTGGGCAACAGAGTGAGAGTCCATCTCAAATTAATAATAATAATAATAATAATAATAATTAGTGATTTCATGTGATTATTATCCTACATATTTTCTCTAGTGTCTTTTGTGCACTTATATACTGGGGTCTTAACTTACCCAGGCATTCACTTGATTTTCATAAACCATGGACTCCAGAGATTTGAATTCTTATTTCTAATCTCAACCCTGAGGGAAAGCTATTTTTATTCTATCCTAAGATAAAGTTGATCATGTTTTATTTAGATTTTTGGTTTCTGGGATGGAGGGAAGACCTGGAGTATGTTCAGTTATTGGATAGTCTTATGTGTGATTTTTTTTTAATTGCAGTAAAATGTATATAATATTTACAATTTTAACTATTTTTGAGTATATGGTCTAGTGCCAGTAAGTATATTAATAATGTGAGACCATCACCACATTTCATTTTCAGAATTTTTTCATTATTCAAAACAGAAGCTCTATATCCATTAAGGGATAACTCCCCATCTCTGTGTCTGCCCAGCTGGGCAGAAACAGAGAATTTGTTTCTATGAATTTGTTTCTATGAATTTGACTATTCTAGGTACCTCATATGAGTGGAATAATACAATATTTTGTCTCTCTCTCTCTCTATGTGTGTTTGTGTATGTGTGTGTGTGTGGTCTCACTCTGTCATCTCTGCTGGAGTGCAGTGGCACAATCATAGCTTATGCAGCCTCAAACACCTAGGCTCTGATGATTCTCCCACCTCAGCCTACCAAGTAGCTGGGACTGCGTGTGCCACTATGCCTGGACATGTTTTTTTTTTTGAGACAAAGTCTCTGTCACCCAGGCTGGAGTATACTGGTATAATCTCCGCTCACTGCAACCTCCACCTCCCAGGTTAAAGCGATTCTTGTGCCTCAGCCTCCCTAGTAGCTGGGGTTACAGGCATGTGCCACCATACCTGGTGAATTTTTTTGGTATTTTTAGTAGAGACAGAGTTTTGCCATGTTGGCCAGGCTGGTCTTAAACTCCTGGCCTCATGTGATCTGCCTGCCTTGGCCTAATTTTTTTGTATATTTTGTAGAGACAAGGTTTTGCCATGTTGCCAAGGGTTCAAGCAGTTCTTCTGCCTCAGCCTCCCAAGTAGCTGGGATTACACACACGTGCCACCATGCCTGGCTAATTTTTGTATTTTTAGTAGAGACAGGGTTTCAACATGTTGGCCAGGCTAATCTCAAACTCCTGACCTCGTGATCTGCCTGCCTCAGCCTCCCAAAGTGCTGGGATTATAGGCGTGAGCCACTGCACCAGTCCTTGCTTTTAATTCTCTGGGGTATATATTCAGAAGTGGAATTTGCTTGATTATGTGATAATTCTACGTTTAATTTTTGAGGAACTGCCATGCTAATATCCATAGTATGCCTCTGCACCCTTTTACATTCCCACCAGCAATGCACAAACACTTGTTA